CTACTTGAGCAGTCTGCAGGGGTGGAGTGACAGTTTTCACGGCCCCTGACGCCCCTCCTTCTTGGGACTTTGGGTGAGGGGGGTATGGGACTTTGTGGCGGGGGAGGGCAGTTAGAGATGTCCTCTGTCCTCCTGCCTCCGGTCCTGCAGAACATCCATAAGGCGCTGGAGCATGTCCGTTTGCTCCCTCATTAGTCCAAGCAGCGTTTGAGTCGCCTGCTGGTCTTCCTGCCACCACCTCTCCTCCCGTTCAATGTGTGATCGATGGTATTGCGACATGTTCTCCCTCCAATGGGTCTGCTGGCCGCCTCGGCTCGGGAGCAGCCCATAAGTTCTGAGAACATGTCGTCCCGTGTCCTTTTCTTTCTCCACCTAATCTGCGCCAGCCTCTGGGAGGGGGATGCCAGGGTAGGTCAGGAGACAGTCGAAGCTGTGGGATGGGAAAAAGGGAGTGAATTCCTCAAAAAGATAATTTTTTGTGAACAATCAACATAGTCTTTCTCTGTGAACAAGACCATGCACAGCACCTATCACATGCGCACTCAGTGCCTAGGGTCTTGCAGTGGAGATCAGACAAGCGGGGCAGGACAGCGGAATTTGGGTAGCAGGCTGACATGGTAAGCCGTAGACTTTTGGCTGCTTCAAACTTAAATTATAGCAGTGCCCTCCTTTCACGTTCAAAGCAATGCTCCTAGTGTTGGCCAGTTCCTGCTGCCGGCAATCCGGCAAGCATGAACTCTGCCCCTGTCCCACCCCCTCGCGGCTGTCCCCGGGAAAGATCCCTGTTTGCTGCCCCTCTCCCGCCTCCACCGCGTGGCTGTAAACCGCCAGTTACAGTTCTGTAAAGGAACAGGCAAGCAGTCCCAATAGTAATATTCCCCTAATTCTAAGCAGGTCACCATGAGCGACATCACTCTGCTGAGGATTTCTGAGACAGAGAAAGATCGCATGCTGCGTGAAAGCCAGCAAAAAACAGGGCCATATGCCACCATGCTCTGCAAGGCAATGATCCCAGAGTACTTGATGATAGCCTGGCGCAGAAAAGTTTCCTACCACGGAGGACACAATAAGGCCGCTCTCCCCAGGAACCTCATGCAAAGGCTTTCCAATTACCTCCAGGAGAGCTTCGTGGAGATGTCCCATGAGGATATCAGCTCTATCCCCGGACATATAGACCTTATTTTCCAGTAGCTGCACTGGCAAGGACTAAAAAGTAGAGCGCCTAGGGCAAACTAATCATGAAAAACCCATTGTTAATATTCCTGTTCTGTTCAAAATAAATGTTTACATGTTTAATACACTTACCGACTGATCCTTCCCCTGATTCAGGGTCTGGGTTAACGCCTGGGGATGGTTGGTAGGGGATCTCTGTGAGGGTGATGAAGAGATCCTGGCTGTCGGGGAAATCAGCGTTGTAAGTGCTGTCGACTGCCTCATCCTCCTCATCTCCTTCCTCATCTTCCCCGTCCGCTAACATCTCCGAGGAAGCGGCCGTCGACAATATCCCATCCTCAGAGTCCACAGTCACTGGTGGGGTAGTGGTGGCGGCCGCACCTAGAATGGAAAGCAGTGCCTCGTAGAAACGGGATGTCTGGGGCTGGGATCCGGAGCGTCCGTTTGCCTCTTTGGTCTTCTGGTAGCCTTGTCTCAGCTCCTTGATTTTCACGCGGCACTGCGTTGCATCCCGGCTGTATCCTCTCTCTGTCATGGCTTTTGAGATCTTCTCATAGATCTTCGCATTCCGTCTTTTCGATCGCAGCTCAGAAAGCACTGACTCATCGCCCCACACAGCGATCAGATCCAAGACTTCCCGATCAGTCCATGCTGGGGCCCTCTTTCTATTCTGAGATTGCATGGTCACCTCTGCTGGAGAGCTCTGCATCGTTGCCAGTGCTGCTGAGCTCGCCACGATGTCCAAACAGGAAATGAGATTCAAATTGCCCAGAAAGGAAAAGGAATTCAAATTTTCCCGGGGCATTTCCTGTGTGGCTGGTCAGAGCATCCGAGTTCGGACTGCTGTCCAGAGCGTCAACAGAGTGGTGCACTGTGGGATAGCTCCCGGAGCTATTAGCGTCGAATTCTATCCACACCTACCCTAATCCGACATGACCATGTCGAATTTAGCGCTACTCCCCTCGTCGGGGAGGAGTACAGAAATCGAATTTAAGAGACCTCTATGTTGAACTAAATAGCTTCGTTGTGTGGACGGGTGCAGGGTTAATTTGATTTAACGCTGCTAAATTCGACATAACCTCCTAGTGTAGACCAGGCCTAATTCAGAGAGCAAAGTGATGCCTAGGTGACTTGAGCGGATATAAAAACCTAAACTGCCAACACTGTTTCCTACAGTACCTTAGAGATCTCGCATCCGAGTACTAGGCTGACACTGCTTAGCCAGAGATTTGTCAGGATCACAAGATAAAGAATCTCAGTGTAAACAGTAAGAGAAAAAGGAAAGTTATACTCAGCAGAAGTGCAAACAAACCTTTAAATGATACATACTGTGGCTTAGTAGTAGGAGCAAAAGGCAAATTTAAGATTCTAAGTGTCCTGGGCTTACTGATTTTTATCTTTAATCTTAACATTATTTAATGATAAAATCAAGTTTGCTTAATTTAGAAAAATACACCTCAGTAGTATATATTAACCAGAATTCTTGTGACAAACTCTCTTGAGTAAATACATCACCGAGGAAACTAAGTGACAAGTTATATTTACCCAAGAAGCTAGAGCAACTCTAAGTCAATATGTACAGTAAAAGGGGAAGAAAACAACCCACTAACATGCCAGTTTCTCATGTGCATATCAAATACACTCAAATGGGAATATGTGGAAAGGAAAATAACTCATGTGCAACAGTGGGGGCACTAAAGGGAGGAAGTGGCTAGCAGTCAGATAACACTTAGCACTGTTAAAAGTCCAGAAGGCCCTGAGTATTGTCTAATGATTGGAGAATAATTTAGAGTCAGAGATGGGTGTGGGTGTTTTCCCTCTGTCTCTCTTCCACCATTATGATTTCAGGCAAGATATTTAGGAACAAGTTTTCAAAAGTACTTTAATTCTGGGTACCCGATCTAAAACACCTCCAGCCTGATATTTAGAGGTGCTGAGCACCCACATATCCTACATTTCTCAAGTTGGGCACCTCAAATTAGTAGACACACTTGGAAATTTTTGGTTTTATCTTTCCATCACAATTTGCCCATCTGCTGAATGCATGTAAACTCATCTGCCTTACTAAGAAGCTTTAACTAATGAACGTTAGTATGGTTCATTCCAGGTTCTCAAAGCAACCTAAGACTAATGCAGTTCCTAAGGTCTGCCAAGCCCCTTCAAGTCACAGATATCCCCACAAGAACTACCCTGCTGAGACTCAGCTGAGGGACAAGGACCCAAAAAGAACAAGAAAAATAATGCAGTAGTAGGATTATTTGACTTGGAATAAACATCACCTAGAAACTCAATACTGTAAACTGGGTTCCTGACACGGACCTGATTTATTCTGTTTCACAATTTTGCATTTGAGATAAAAGGAATTTGGGCTCTAAAAATTAAGGATTGTCCTGTAATTAGTGACAATTGAGAAGTAGGGCTAGCACCCTACCCGCTTCACACCTGCCTCCCCTCAAATCCTTGTACTAGTATTGTGACAATATGCTACATTTGTGACCTAAGTGTGCTCACTTTAGTTACTAGATTCTATTAAGTAAAATTTCACTTTGTAACTCTACTGAGTCTCCTGGTATTTGAGAACAAAGTTTCCAGACAGAACTTAGCAGAACCTAGAAAATAACTTGTGCCAAACTTAGCACTGCACATCAGCAAAATCCATTGGGCTCTGAAAAACAACTGACTGATAGAGCACTTTGATTCTTTATAACCCATGTTGTGTGAAAAGTTAAAGCCACTGGGAAACAGAAAATCCTTTTATGGGAACAGCTATCAAAATCTGTTAAAACCATCTGTTTCTCTGGCTGTTTTCCTTCGTAACAAAAAGGGGAAAAAAACTAATCTGAGGTAAGAGACCCTTGGTCAAATTCTACTTTCACACTGATGTAGATCTGGAGAAACTCCACTGATTACAATATAGTTACTCCTGGCATAAGTGATAGCAGAATTCAGACCTCCCCCCCATGTCTAATGGCCATCTCGTTTATGAAAAGGTCCAAAAGAGTAGCTAGGTATATTTTATGTGGCAGAGATAATGGCAGCACATATGATACAGCTGCACAAAAATCAGCTGCCTGAACTTATCAAAAGCTTAGTAACAACTTTCCTTTTCCTTCTGTTTCTAATTATTTAAAGTGATTGCAATGGTACTGGATTGAAAGCCTGGGAGAATGAACTCCTTTATTTATCCACAAAAGAGAAATAATGCAGGGCAAAGGCACTTCAAACACCCTTTTCACCACCTTGCCAAATGCATCGCACAAGGATCACACTTCTAATGGTCAAAGGGCAGTTCAGTTTCCATGGTCCACTCAATTCTTGCTGGGGCAATGTGACAGTCTGCTCTCTTGTTGGCTGTCTGTGACTACAGTCTCTGATAGTGATTTCAGAACAGAGTTATCTATAAGTTAGGAACTGGACTATCTATGCACTAAGAACTTGACTGAGAACCCATTCATTCATTTCACATAGGTCACTGAATGTCCATAGGATGGTGATAACTATTCATCAGCAATGGGAAGAGTCAGACTGATAACCTAGAAGTGCAAGATTCCTTACTAAAAAACCCAGTTCCCCCGAGTTATCCAGTCCTTCAACAGAGTTCTCATATCTGAATGTGTTTTCAGAGTGGTAGCATACAAAGTGCCTGATCGTGCTATTGCTTACCCCAGTAATTCCTATGAAGTCAATAATTATACCAGGGTAAAAGAGGGTGGAATGAGGCCCACATAATCCAATAATTGGTATGATGGCTATCAGAAAAGTATTTGCTGGGATTATGCTTTTTTGGGGGGACAGTATTGCCATGTGATTTTTAATTGGTTTCTCACCTGGACTCCCCTTGACTGATGGTAAGATAGATTTCCCATGAGCTCTCTTCAGGGATAGCTCCATGTGGTATCAGCAAACTGACTCCTACAACAGAACAAGTTTAGAGGTTATTGTTGGACTTCCCAAATCCAAGGCTTCTAGAAATACTTTGGACATAAAGGAAAACCTCACAAATTGCTTCTGAACTATAACCCCTTGAAATGTATACTACCCTAGCAAAAAGCCTGTTTGAAAATGGTAGTACAGGGTGGGCCATTATCAAATTAAGGAAATACATCTTATTAAAATGGTTTGTTTATTTGTCTGTACTACAGTATTTCCCAAAGGCCCCTATCAGGATCAGGTCCTCACTGGGCTAGGCTTTATACAAACAGTGGGGCAGGCATCCTGCCATTATGTGAGTTTTTGAAAGAGCAGACTTTGAGGTATTTTTGCACCAGTGAATTATGTAGGACAGAGGTTCTCAAACTGTGGTCCATGGACCACCAGTGGTCCGCGAGCTCAATTCAGGTGGTCCAGGGGTTGTTCCCTCTAAAGTGCGTGCCTGGGCGGCAGCACACGAGAAAATGAAGGGCCACCTACCTAATTAGTGGAGCCGTGCAGGCATGGCTCCATTAATTAGGTGCCTGGACCCTGGAGAAGATGCACATGTAAGGTGAGGTGGTGGCCTTGGGGGGAATAGGGATAGGTGGGAGAGGGCAGTGGGGTAAGAAGTGGGGGGTGGGAATTTGGGACATGCAGGGCTGCAGCGGCCAGAGAAAGAGGCTCAGGGGCTGCTGCGGCGGGGGAGAGAGGGCACATCCCTCGCATTAGAAAGGTAAGACTACAGATATTAAAATATGAGTTGTGTGCTTTTATTTGTAGAACAGAAAATGTTGTTTATTATTAAGGTTTTTTATTAATATAGTGCTTTTATCTGATTTTATTTAATATAGCGCTTTACAATAGTTTGCTAATGGTGCAAACAACATTTGGATAGATCATTAAGTGGTCCGCTGAGACCCTCAGCAATTTTCAAGTGGTCCATGAAAAAAAAAGTTTGAGAACCACTGATGTAGGATGCATAACCTTGATGACTGAACTCTTCTCTTCATCGCTAGGTATAGAAAGACTTCTCGCCCACTCTGCCATCAATGCCACCTGCACAGGAGGGACTCCTTTATGGAAATGAGAGGACTTCAGTCTCATGGGCTCATTCAGTCCTTAGCCCCTTTGCTGAGACTGTCAGCAAAGGTTCTGTTTAGTTCCAGTTGTGAGGGTGTTCTCAAACCCATTTCCTAGTGGGGACATAATAAAACCACTAACTTATTTAATGCAGCCATCAGATTCAAACAACTTTCAGTCACTTCTGAACTAGGTCTGAATGCAACTCCAGCCACAAAAAAGGTGAATGACTCTGTATCCCATTAAAAGTTCTCAGAGCCATCTAGTCCCCTAGGGAATGTACTTCTGGCACTGACTTTATTCTTATTCTGTATGGTCAGATGATATAGCTATTTAGATTAAAAAGAAATAATCCAAATTTAAAATCCTCAGTAGCTTTTTCCTAGGTGTATACAGTCCACTGCAAAGCCAAGGACGCTCAGCCCAACCCAGCCCCACAGTTCATGTGGAGTTCCTGAGCTTTCTTTTGTGTGTAGCAATTGCTTTGAAGTAAATCTTTTACATCAGCTAACAGATAAGAGCCCACAGAGCACAGTTCTTCTCTTTAATGCATCTTCTTGTTTATGATAAGAAATGAACTGGTTATACATGACAAAAAAATCCTTTGCAAAAATAAAACCTCAGGGTTTCTTCCTCCCCCTCAAATAATGAACCTCTCACCCTCTCTTTCATCAGAAGAACCAATGCTAGAGTAGAAAAGCATACAACTTGGTGATTATAATTTCAATGGAGAGATGGCATCCTTCTAATAACATTACCGATGCAGCGTGAGCTGCGCTCTTGTAAGCCTGAGAGCTGCTGTACAGTCATGCAGCCCAAGACTCATTATAAAATAAGTTATTTGTGCTTCCAATTTATGAACATTATTCAGTAACATGCTGGTTATCATTAGTCTCTTTCACTTGTGCTAAGAATGAGGCACATTAAAAATCCCTGCTTGGAGCCTCCTGACAATGAGATTCATTATTAACTAGGTTTTAATATCAATACTAGAGAGGCATGGCCATCATTACATTGGTTAGACGCCGTATTTATGATAATCCCCTAGGTACTGCTCTCCCTGTATTGTTATAGGCACACACTTTGATAGTTAGGGCTAACTTCAGGGCAACCATTTTCCTCCATTAGAATGGGATAGAGAGAAGTTAGCTCTTTTGTGATGCTGAGAAAATCCACAAATGTTTAAGGGGGTGGATTTTCAAAGGCACAAAGTACAGTTAAGACAGCTAATTCCCAGTGAAAGTGGATAGTGGTTAGGTGCCTTCTGTGCTTTGAAATTTCCCAGTTATGAAGCATTTAAAAATGTCTGCCTCTTTGTAGGGTGAACCCCTTTGGACAACAGTGAGTTCTGGTGAAACACACACACACACATACACACACCCTTCCTACAGGATAGGAAGAAATTGAAAGGGCCAGGACCGCATTGTTGGATGTGAACAACAGTAGTTTGACATTCGCAAACTTGAAGTCAAGTGTCACTCAGACAGAGCTGGAAATTGAGTCTAAGCTTACTCACAGAGCTCAGAGGTGGCCTGAAATTATCACAGCTTCACCTCAATCAAAGATCCTCTACCATCTTTCAACCCAGAAGAAAAAGCACAGGAATCAGAACACAGTGATTGAATGCAGCTGAATATCTGTGCCATCAAAAAGGGAGCTCCAAGTTATGAAGTAAAAAAAGATAGATTGTCTGTCTAATATCTTGACACTCTAGGGCCTAGAAAAAGTTTCTATTTTTGACATGTCACTCCAGCAATTAGCTTTGATTTGGGCGGGGGGGGGGCGAGGGGGAACACCTGCTACCTGACAGCCTTTTATTTGATCTGACAACAGAACAACCTGTTCTGAGTTCTCTATTTAGTTTTTTTTTTTTTGCATAACAAATGCATGCACGACTTTCTTAACCTTTAAAATGAGCTTTGCTAGATCTCAAAAAGCTGTTGAGTAAACCAATTATTTAAAATGGCATTATCTGTGCATTCTTCTTTGCCCCCACGTTATCCACCTATATATCTATTAATATTATGAAACTTGTCATCTGTAAAGCTCCTTATAGTTTGCAAAGCTCAATTATTGTTTAAGGTTTCCTTAAGGGCCTTTACTCAATGCTACATTAAAGACAAATGTTTGCCAAATTGAATCTGCTGGTGCTTTTGATCAGGAGAAACTCATAATGGAGAGATCACCTACAAAAACAAACTGGATTTATAAAGATTTTCATTTCTTTTAGTTCATATGCACAACAGCCATTGCAGCTTATGGTTTGATGCTTCTCTTACAATGGTGTACATTGGAACTTACTCCATTGTGGCCATAATGGAGTTACACTGTTGTAAAGCCAACATAAATGAGGGAGGAAATAATAGATTCCAGATTCTTTCAATATGTCACACTTGCATACCTTCAGATAAATCCTGAAACGTCGAGATGCTACTGTGATTTGCAATTGTCTGCAAGATTTTATTTCAGACTAGTGGTAGAGGGGGGAAAAGTAAATTGCATGGACCAAATACACCTGGAATTTATTTGCTTTGTGGGATGAGCATTATTTAAAGTAATTTGATGCAGAATAAGAATTCCTTTGCCCATCATCACTTTTGATAGCTACACTGTCTTGCTATCTTTGTAATGTTCATTCCTGAACATCCAAATCGTCCACGGAGAAACAACTGCCTTGAATACAGCATGCATTTCTGTGTGCTACATATTATCACTTTTAATTACATATTACTATCAATCTATTCTAAATACACACAATGTTTTTGATGCTTTTTTTTTAAAGTGGCAATGAAATATGAAAAGGAAGACTGGAAATGGCATTTCATTCAAACAAACAGTAAGAGACAGGCCTGGATGCACAGAACAAAAGTTGTCAAGTGAAATCAAACTCTAGTCGAAAGTGAATCTCAACTCTAGGATCACTAGAATCCAAAAGGTGCCCAATTAGCTGGAAATAGTGGCATCAGGCCAGTTATGACACACATTCCATTTCACAACTCCAAAAGGTGTAATATGTTGCAGCGATGCAATCTTAATATCCTTTATTTGATTCTAATTTGGTTTCACACAGTGGCTGCAAGTTTAAAAAACTCCATTTCCTTTTAGCAACTAGCAAGCAGAGCTATGACGAGAATCTCACGCTAAGTTACAAAGCTCAAAAGTCACAAAGCAAACATCATCTATTAGTGATGCAAATTTAGCTCCTCTATTTCAAGCAAAGTTCTGATGCTCAACCCAGTACTGAGCTGGCAGTTAACTCGGAAGTGATGCACTATGGAGATGTCCTTTCAGAACAGAGCTAAGTTAGAAGGGAAAAAACAACAACCCTGGAAAATCCAAAAACAACAAACTAATTAGACCAACAGGTGTAGCCACACACAGTAGTTTTCATTCAGAACAGTGGCTCTCCTCAATGGTCTCTCATCATGATGATATCCCACAGATATTTCTGTAGCATCGTCCGTTCATTGGATCAGTCATTGATATAATTAGACTGTGAGGAACAAATTGGAAAGGGGAGTGTAAGGCTTGGTCTACACTTACCCCCCAAGTCGAAGTAAGGTACGCAAATTCAGCTACGTGAATAACATACCTGAATTCGACATACCTTACTTCGAACTTACCGCGGTTCAGACGCGGTCCACACGCGGCAGGCAGGCTCCCCGTCGACTCCGCGGTACTCCTCTCATTGAGCTGGAGTACCGCAGTCGACGGGGATCACTTCCTGGTTCGATTTATTGCGTCCAGACCAGACGCGATAAATCGAACTCGGAACTTCGATCCCCAGCCGCCGAACTAGCGCGGCAGTGTAGACCAGCCCTAAGACCCTGAGAGGAGCTCTATGGTAGGATCAAGAACCCGGTAAGAGGAGTCAGGAGAAGATGTTGGATTATAACAGCTCAAACACAATGCCAATTTATCAACATGTAATAAACCCTCATCTCTGAATTTGGCCCTGGTTGTAATCTTACTAAATGATCTGATAGTAACAACTCTCTTCTGTGTGAAAAAGATTCCTGTAGTTTTCACATTTCCCAATAAGTGAGCTCCTCTCTTCTTTATATCATGAAATGCTATACAGCAAAAGGGTTTAGGTCACATCTTTCTTGTATGCTTTCAAAAGAAAATGATTCACCCACCTGTGTTTGGCATCACTAAACGGCCACCCAGGTGGCCAAAAATGCCAGTCGTTCTCAGCTCACTTCTTGTTGAAAGAGATGACAGATTCTGAATGTATGTAGTTTTGTTCCTGGCATGTATTGTCGTGAAGCCTCTGTTGTTCCCATGGGGAAACGTTCCAGAATGTGCCTTTCCGTGATACTCGGCCCGCTCCGTCACCCCCAGGGAAACCATGAATGAACTCTGAACTTTGACCTTGATGTCTGACAAGGGATTAAAGAGTGAAGATTCTGTCATGAGCTCCTTATCCATGGGGTCCTGCAGGCAGATGGGTCCGCTGTATGTTCTGCTCACTGTCAAGTCAGGCTGCATGGATGAGTTCAGAAGCAGGGAGTTACCTGATGAAAGGAAATTGATTGAGTACTCAGTTACCATTTTACAAGCAAGGGAAACTGTTATGTGCATAGTGGTTCCTAGAAAAATGCCTACATATCAGGATTTAATCTGAGTAATGGAAAAACAGGGGAGGGAGGTGGAGTTCCACACCCACACAGGGAAAAGTCTGTTTACCCACCTTTCCATTTTATGTTGTATCTTACAATTTCAGAGTGTGGCCCAGTGGTTAAAGTAGAGGGCTGGGTGTTAGTTGCAAAATCAGGAATAGAACCTAGGACTCCTAATTCACTGTATGACCTTGGGCAAGTCACTTTAACTGGAATTTTTTCAAAAGTACCATAGTAACTTACAGTTGGGCTTGTGCTCATAAGTCAGTGAGGTGCTTTCAAAAATCCCCCCTTTCACCTTTCCGTGCCATGGTTTCCCTATCTATAAAAACGGATAGCATTTTCCTACACAAAGAGGAGAGTTGTGAGGCTTAATTAATGTTCGTAAAGTGCTAGGAGATCCTCAGATAAATGTCGCTGTACTAGAAATGCACAATATACTTTTTGCAAAGGCTGTTGTACTAATTCTTTTGTTATTCACTTTAGCCCAAATTATAGGTTCCTTTAGGGTACTAATTCACAGGCCAGTCTGGAAAACAATGGTGTCAGCTCTATATTAGCTACAAAATTTTGGGCGCCTGACTCTTACGTGGTGTAACTCCTTTGTCTTTAACGGAGCAAAGCTGACTCACATCAGCTGAGGATCTGGCCCTTGATATCCATGGGCATCTAATGATCATTTGTTGCAACATATCCACCTCATATATTGGCAATAAAAAAACCTGCACTTAGAAGATAATGTGTCTCCCTCTTCTGTTTGCAGTTAAACTTTTAAAAGCAATCCAGGCAATATAACAAAGAATAAAATCAGAACAGATGCTGGAAAATTATTCTGTTGGGCTTCAGAAATGTTAAAGCAGAATATTTTCTGATCTAGTTCCTTATCTTGCAATGAGCTCCATATAGGTAGATATGGGTAAAAAAATCCCAGGCCCACATGGAACCTTAGTCAAGTGGATATATGCAGGTGCCTAGGATCTGCTGTTACAAAGTCCATTGAAGGATTTGTGCTTCTTGCCAGATCAAGTTAAAACTTTAAAACAAGCCAGCCTCAGAGGCTAAGAGATGTCTATAAAAAGTACCGTTCTCAGAACACTTAGACTCTGAGATGCAAGGTTTTATCCTTGTTTTGATAATTCCTAGAGAAACGTGCATGAATTCATCACACTGGCATCCTCCTTCTGACCTCTTCACTACCACCCATCCAGCTTTCCTCTCGTTTTCCAGTGCTCTCAGAAATCAGAATCACATGTGGCAATGTCCCAAAGGAGATGAAACAATGAAATAGATCTAAAGGATACCTGAACTCTATGTTTTCTATGCTCCAGGCCGTGTCAAGGCACATGTAACCAAGGAGTCAAGTGTAAACCAAATGAAAACGTGTCTGAACACCTACTCTTTTAGTGAGCCTATAGGAAGGTATGGATTCAGGCTTGAAGGAAACTAGGTTGACTAGAAATGTGGGACCACAATTATGCAGAAAAGGTTGGCTCCCAATCTAATTCTGGGTGCAGACTAACTCAGAGAACACCAGGTGAAAGAGGAGGAGAATCGATAAATTTAAGGCCTCAATTTTCAAAAAGGACTTGTGATTTTTAGGTTCCCAACTTGAGACATTTAAAAAGCATCTGATTTTTCAAAAAGTGCTGAGCCTACCCACCCTTTGAAAATTAGGCCTTTTAATATGTCTCAAGTTGGACTGCTACCATCACTAATCATTCTCAAAAAGTGTAGAATCTGGATCCCTCAAAAGCTCCATTCTCACATACTTGCAGATCCTTTCATTTCAGTTTGGGTCAACAGATCCATGTCTAATCTGCTACAAAAACTTGAATTGCAGACAAATGTCCTCTGCAGTTCTAGCATCCACTGAATATTTTCCTCAGCGCCACTGATAAATAAGGCAATAGACACTTTAGCTGCTCACTCATTGTGGGTAATGACTGCTCTAATGCATATTTCTAACCAGATGCTGCTGCCTTTGGTATGATTTCTCTTTAGATGAAAATAAGCATAATTTTTAAGCCTTTCTTTGCGGCTCTAGGCATCTTAAAAAGGGGGGGGGGGAAGTCATTCCCAAGACCTGGCTTTTTGGTTTTTCTTTTTTAAATGATGTTGCTGTCAATATAACACAGCAGCAGATATTCTTACTATATTTTCTCCAGCTCAGATGGTATTAAGGAAACTGAGTGTATTGGATGTTTGCGTACAGCTGATTAGCTTTGAATGTAAAAAGAATTCCCAGCTACACCAACTCTTTCCTATCCAGAAGAAGGCAATTAAGCAAGTTGCACCATTCCTCAATTAAACATGATAGATATATTAGATAAAAACTTCTAGGCTTCTCTAAGCATAATGTACTTAAAACCCTCCTACTGCTAACCTCCAGCGTGCTAATGTCAGAAGAACTAGTCTCTTCCTCTAAATGGATTAGGGATTACTAAAAAGAGATTATTCTTAACTAGAAAGGTTAAGGTTTGGGGATATCACATGAAGCTGTCAACTGAAGAAATCAAATCATGAATAATATGGGATGGATTCTCCCTGCCATATTTGAGTCAAAATGATTCTCTGGGTCAATCTGCAACTACCTCAACATAAAACAGAGTTGCCCAAGGGCTGCTCTAGTTTACGCCATATGGCCATTGTTCCCAAAGACTGTTCAACAGCTAAAAATTGCAGATTAGAGCTGCTCTTTCCCCTCACCTCACATACCTCTAACATGTCCCTTACATCTTGGTATGGGAGCTGAGTACATTGGCTTTACTCCAGTTAAAGGTTACCTTTCCATACAGACTGATGCTAGGTTATGGCTTCTTTGAGCTACCTGTATCATTCCACAGAGCCAGTCTGGGGAGACAGAATCTGGCTCTATATATTTAGGGTTTCCAGTTTTAAAATTTATGCCAATAAAATCCCACCAAAACAATTTGCAAGAGATACACTGGGGGGGGGGGGGGGAAACAACAAGCCAGATGTTTTCTGTTTTTTCCAGTGTTTGAGAGAGGATTCTATAGTCCCTAGAGGTCTCTCTGTCTAGATTTTTATATCATGCTCATCACCATGTTATCCGAGTATCTGAATCTCATTCCTATCTGTGTGGCATTCTGAAGAAACTAAAGCTCTAATTGGCCTAAGAACAAAAACCACAAATCAGAAAATCATATATGTATCTAAGTTCTAAGAGCCAGATCCCAAAGCCACTCAAGTTAATGCAAAGACTCAAACTGAAATCAATGGAGTTTGGATCCAAGTCTTAAAACCTGGATCCACCAAAGCATTTAAGCTTGTGGCTAAAATATTTTAAATAGTGATTTATAGGTATGGCTGAGGGGTGAGGGTTAGAATACATGTGAAATCTCAGACTGTTTGGGGGCTTTTTGTTTGTTTGCAAGTATTCATTTTAAAAACTCCAACAACATCCAAAGTAGCTGCAACTGAACTAATGCATCCTCAAATATAAGAAACGGTCTGTGTGAGCATTTTTATGGTGCCTCTGACTGAGGTGTCTGTGCAATATTAAAACCAAATCAAAATCTCCCACACAAAACCCAAAACAAGATTTTTATAACAAATTAGCTTCTTATTTCATTTGGAAACTCAATCTCAGATAATGTGGAAAAGATATTACAAATTATATACCACTCTTCACAGGCAACTTGAACTTCCAAATAAATGAATAAAATTCCTCTGCATCCCAAAGTTGTTTTTATTTATGCTCTGTGGAGCATGTCTCTCTTGGAAAGTAGAATATGTGTGTGTGCACGCGCACTCACGCACACACATACACCAATTGCAACATTTCACTTTCCTAAAGAGAAAAAAAAAATTGGGCAACTTTTACACCCACCCACCCACAATAAGGCCAGCATCTAGTTTAGAATACTGGTACCGAAGCAAGAAATACAAGTTTTTATAATGATCACCGCTTTAGTTCAAAATCTCATTTTTTTGTCCAAGGAAATATTCCAGGAAACCGACTGCTTTTTAGCATGGGGTTTTATTTATGTCTTGTAAAATCTACCAGTGACTTTCTAAAGTCCTTTAACAAAAAAAACCCCAAATAAATATATTTTCACAACTGTGCATCTTCGGCTATTCTATATATCTTAGGATATAGAAATTTACATGCAAACAATGTAGCATAAAATGCTTGAAAATGAGTTGTTTAAATTAGGAACATAACAAATGAAAATTTAACCACTTTCAGTTGGGAACCAAAAACAGAAGAAATAGGAACCGAATAGGAATTTACTGAATGCTAATGATTTCTGCGTTTATTTGTTGTCAATGCAGTAGGAGAAGCTAATAATATACTCAACTTCTAACACACATACAGAGGGATAAACTGAGGCAAGCAGAGATTAGTCACTTGTCTGAGTTCACACAGAAATTGGTGGCAGAGACAGGAAAAGACCCTAGAATTCCAACCACCAGGCCCAACCCTTGCCACTAGACCACTCGCTTTGCTCTGCACAAGCCAGTTCCACCCTCCCGTGGAGGTCTCATGCTTCCAGAGGCTGCATGCTCTTTCTCAACAGAAGCTGCGAGGGAAGATGATGAAATCACAACACTAACCTTGCCGGACTGTTTTAAAATTAAATGTCTGGAAGCCTCCTGTCAGCGCGGATGAATCAATCACATCCACCCCGTACTCGCTCTGGCTCCGTCTATAGAGTGTAATGCCGACTACCAGCACAGCTACAGCAATGACTGCAGCACCCAGGCCTGAGTACAAGGCAATGTCACTGGCGTTCTCGATATCTGAAAGGAGAAAATGTAGGCACCAGATTAGCGACACACACTCATATTGCCTCCCCTCCACAAACTGCCCACATGAGGATTGATTGGTGCATTTGGGAAGGTAAAAATTAAGCTGGGTTCAGACTAGATCTCAAGACTAATGTTTCTCAGTGAGGAATATGCTGAGATTTTTGGATGGTGTGTAGTGAGGGCTTGGGGTGTCCCCCTGCCCAGCAAATTGCCATGCATGGGCGTTTGTTTAATTTCTCTTCCTCTCTTTCACTCTCATAAACCTTCACGATTATTTAACACACAGGGAAGGTGTTAAAAAAAAAAACACAACAGGAGACACCTGGAACATCAGGTGTTTCCAGGAAATGGCTGGCACTTCATCTGATGTTTCCTGTGACTGGAGGGTTCAGCATTCGCAGGTCCATGAGTGAAGAGAACTGAGCGCAAATCTCATCCTAGCTTAGCCCCCACCACAGCAGTGTATTCCACAGGTCTGGGGAGCGGGGTGGGTACAGTGGGGGTGACAAGCATCATTCCCCATTCCAGCCTATTGGAGATTAAGGGCTGAGTTACATTGTCTTAGTAAAGAGGAGACTCCAGCACAACTGTAGCAAGGAGAGGCGCTGTTAGGGAACAAAATGCCTCTTATAGAATCATAGACTATTAGGGTTGGAAGAGACCTCAGGAGATCATCTAGTCCAACCCCCTGCTCAAAGCAGGACCAGCACCAACATCAACTCTTGTCTCTCACTGGTCTCCAGGGACATAGGGTTTGGGGTTGAGCCCTGCTGCTCATCCAGGAGAGAGCAAACTTGATGGAATGATTGGTGAAGTAAAGATTTCATATTTCACCCTCTCCTGTGGGTTTTACTTTACTTTACCACCTCTCAAACACACAAGAAAGCTAAGGAGTCAGCCTACAGGGTTTGGTCGTGTCCTACTGAACTGATGGAATCTGAGCCATCATCAGGAATTCCTGCAAGTGCTCTTTGCCATTAAAAACAGATATGAAACCAAACAGTGGTTATGTATTGGGCAGCTTATGATGAAGTTTTTTATGTTTTAAAACTTTGGTAGCAGGTGAGGGTAGCCCAGATGAGACCTGCAATAACAGAGCTGTCTAGGTCCAAGTATGCATGATCGGGTGGGAGTTGAGACCAAGAACCATGAAATTAAATTACTTGGCAAGACACTTTGTGGGCCCTTAGATAATTCCCCTTATGCTGAACTTTGCTTTAGAGAAAGAAATGGTCATGTATTTACTCTGTAAAGCTTTTATTGTCTCACAAATATGGTAGGTGCATTATCAAATGTATATTGGAAGAAAGTGTATTATTTTAAACAAACAAATCAGAGTGAAAATAAGTAGGAATCGGAAATTCAGACCGAACTATTCAATAACTGAGCAGTAAATAGCGAATACATTGTGAAGCATTGTAACAGCACAGAGGAAGAATGCAGTATTGTATAGAAGGCCAGTAGATGGCCTTGCACCACTTAATTCTTAGTCTGAGGGTTTATGTAGTGCATTCTCTTGTGCCGAGCTCTGCAAAGGTAGGAATTTCACCCTCAAACCCTATACTATATGTAAGAACCAGATGGTCAGACAATTTTAAGAGAAATAGGACAGAAGGATGCTGATGACGTGTGTTGAGAAATTGTGAGCAGGGACCTAATTTGTAAAAGTTGCTTTTTCTGGTTTACCACTTAGTTACGTAAACTAAATGTTGGACACTTAACTTGCCAGGAACGCACACCAGCTATTCTGCCAAATGCTCCAGTGGAATACTGACAGCCCCCTAATTTCAAGGGAGCTGTACAATAGGAGCAACCAGCAGCAAAAAAAATTGAAATTAAGATACACGCTGCTTTAAGTAGGCTGAAGCAATGGGCTATTGGTTATCAAGCTGTCCTCTACAGAATCCAAGCCAAGTACTCAGAGATGTAAAGCAAACTCTGCTCACAGAATCTCCATTTACCTTAAACCGGTTCTCCTGGATTGCATTACTTAGTAAAGAGACAGAGACTCTCAGGGCAAATCAGAGTGGCTGTCAGGCTCTTCCCTGGAAAAAAGCCTTATATTTACAGTGGCCACTCCAGAAACAGTGGCAGAAAATCTCCAACAAGTACATACTCGTGTACCTGAGTTTAAAGGGGATATGCCCCTAAAGATTTCTAGCTTGTGGTCCAGGAACATCTGTGAAGAGTTCAGATCTGTTGTATGAAGGGATTTCCCCTACTCTGGGTGGCTAATAGTTTCTGGGACTTTCAACATCCAACTCCACAAGGGATATTGTAGATGCAAAGCGATGTATTGAGGAAACAAACACTATAACACAAATTTAAAAAAAATCAAGGTCTTTGTAGAATTTAATGTCCTGACATGATCATTCATTTATTGTATTTCTATCAGATGCCACCTTTGTTTGACTTTCATAATTGCACAAAACATAATTTTCTTTTGGGTCAGAGTGTCCATATGCAAAAGAAGGCAGATTGTGGTGTCAGGGGAGATGTAGGCTAGGACATAATGTTGAAGATATATGAAGTACACTCAGTCATTCATGAAGATAACCATCAACAATCTTACTTGTAGATTATCATTTCTAGCTAATTAAATTGCCTCTGCAGCACAAGTTTGTGGAGGGTGGGTTTTTTCGGTACCTAGTTTCTGTTGGGATAAGGCTTGGGGCAGTATCTTCTTGACTGAGGCTCTTCTGTTGTGGAGGGAGTTCTTCCAGGAAGGGAGTTGCTCCAAAGCCCATTGCTAGTTGCCGTGAGGGGAACAGAGTGTCTCTTCTGAGTTGAATTCAGAATTCTAGCTCCTGGAGAGGGCCAGGACACACTGAAGGAACTTAAAGTGAGTGACTTCTGGGTAGGGTTCATTCTCTAGTTCTTTGCCAAAGCCCTTGGAGTTTAGTGTCTCTCTGATTGGACTGATCTTTGATGCTGGTCATGCCTCTCTCATTAAGCATTAGATTGGATTTTTCAGTGCTGTTTCAAAATTGGCTATATGGTGATGGTATAAGAATCTGAGCTGCCAATTAGAGCAGCCTATGGGTACAATATGACCATGTTTAGCCTATGCTGTCAATGGTTTGACAATGTGCCACAAATGGGACTTTTAAAAAAGAACATTAGAAACAAGAGATGGTCAAATTATTCTTGTCTACACTTTTCTTTATTTTGTGTGTGTGTGTGGGGGGAGGGTGGTGTTAAAATCAGAACTAGATTTTTTTTTTGCAAAAGTTTCTGTTTAGTTTATAATTTGTATTTTTACAAATCAAAATGGCTTTTCTTTATTTTTAAAATTTTAATATTTTTGAAGGGAAAAATATTCCTTTTCCAAGTAGCTCTATTAGAAATAAAGATCATGTATTACTGTATAAGTCATTAGCACTGGTTGAAGTTTTTAGGATTTCACAATTTTGATATATGTGTATGGGGATTTCAAGTTTCAGTGAAATAATGGCCAGAAAAAGAGAGATTTCTATCAACCTTTTTTTTTTTTTTGTCATTTTTTTTAGCCAGATACAGCTACTGAACATTTTTCAAGTTTCAAAGTTTTGCGATACAAATTTTCATCCCTTTCAAAATTTGCCAACAGAACAGCAAAAACATTTTTGTGAAAGGTGTATGATCCCCACCAATTTTTTTTTTTTGACCAGCAGTAGAAAGGGAAAGAGACAGAGCATGTATGTTTTCATATTTAGATGGTGGCAAAGGGGAAAAAGGGATATTCCAAGAGGTCCTGGGTTCTTAAAAAAAAATGCAGGAAGAAAAATATTTCTGGAACTACAGCTCCAGATTGTTAGCAATCTTTGGTCAGCTTCTTCCCTGAGTAATATTTTATTGATGCAGATGGAGAAGAATATCTCTATGACTAAGAACAGATCAGCTATAGAGATGCTTAAGAACAGATGTGGAAAGGAATATGAAATGATGCAAAACAAGGATGACTTTAGTCATCCTTAAGGTCATGATGTTTAAAAAAATAAAGTTTCAAGAAAAAAAAAAAGAGTCAGGTATCAATTTGGTGATTTGTTTTGTTTTTGATTTTGGGTGAAATCAAACCCAAGCCCACATAAGGTTTAAAAATATCTGGAAATGATTTTATAATGAGCATATGGTATCTTTATGACATTTGATTCTTTTATTTCTACTACATTTTTCCTTCCGCACAAACAGAAATTGTTGCTCTCTCTCATTATGTTAGGAAATGGATTGGCTTTCTTTCCTAGCATGACTGGAGAAGTTAGCATTTATTGGCAGCTGTCAGACAGAACAGGAAATGGAGGGAAGATTTAACCTGCTATTCAATAGTCAATATTTGCAAACCACCACTGTAATTATGGCATATTTTCTTAGGCAAGTACCCAGTTTTGACCCACGATGTGCCCAAACTTTTGCCATAACTACAATGAAAATGTTTCAAAGTCTGCTCACACCAGTTTTTGGAAAGTTTGTCATGCTAGAAAATTTACAGTGGAGTTTTGAGCCCATTTTATTACGAATTATGTTAGTGCCGAGAGACTCTCCCCCTCCCCAGTATGGTAGGTGACATACATAAACAGTGTAAAAGACATTTCCTGCCCCAAAAATCTGACAATCCAAATAGACAAGACCAACAAAGGAGGTATCATTATCCCATTTTTACAGATGGGGAACCGGGGCACAGAGAAATCATGAGACTTGCCCAATATCACAGAGTGGTAGAACCTGGAATTGTACCCAGATCTCCTGAGTTCCTGCCATTATCCACAAAAGTAACCTTCTTTCCTCAGTTTCAATCTCTAATACCAGGGTACAAGAAAGGAAGTCTATAAATCAACTACATTTCAATTTCTTCTCACTTATCTGTCCCCAAGCAATCTTTGTTGTTAGATAATTAACTCTGATACTCTATTCCTGAATTAACTTTTGTGGATAATTGGTATGTTGGGTAAGCCAGGAGATGTGTTGTTTATTATGAAACATCCTGGAGTGGTATATATCCCAGGGGGTAGAAGTAATCAGTTAACAAGTGTATGAGCTCCCCACCTCTACATTCCCATCCTTTTGAGAGCTACATTGACCAATCCAGTAGTTGTCTTAAACATATAACCTTTAAAAAGTATCCCTTTTCTACAGAAAAAAGTGGAAAATCTTAATTTGTTCCCTCCTCCTTTAAAATAGGTTAAATTCTGATCTAAAACATGCATACCGCTGCTAATAATAAAAATCCGCTGCTGCCAGAGGTGTAGAGCACAGGTGGCTATAGATGTATAGAACAGGAGTTCAGAAGTTATTCTTCACTGTCAAAACAGGATATGTAAAACTGAGAATATTTTAAAGAGCTGTCATATTTTAAACACTGTTGGGGTAAAAATCATTAAGAAAATCCCTCAGCTATGTTACTAATTGTAATTTATAATTCTTAATTCTTACATTATTCAAACATATTTACTTAGATAATTTACATTCTCATTTTCACTCATCTTAGACAAAATAGATCAGTCAGTTTCATTTTTGGTTTCAGCACAAGATTGCCATGTTTGGATTACAAGTGCTGAGGAGAATATTCAAATACTAATAAAAAAAGATTTGGAAAAAAATACTAACAGCATTAGAACAACAAAAACAATTTACTTTAATGAAAAATATATATTTTTAAAAACACAACTGGGACCTAAATTTGATGGTTCTCTTCTTGGTATAAGTTTTTTGTTTTCTAGGATTCCTTATCTTTAACAAGATGTTCAGTGGTGGGGTTTTTTTGGCATTAGATGTGACCTGAAAGTGATACTCAGGTATTCACACAACTACTTCTTAGTCAGGGATGAAAAGACACAACAGCAAAACTACAAACAGTTAAGAATCAGAAGGAAAAAAAAGAATTCACTAAGTATGACAATTTAAAAAAGCAAAATGGTACTAATTTTGTTCCAAGGGACAATGCTGCTTATAAAAAGAAGTGTTTATTCTTTCATTTCTATTCAGAGCACTATTATTTGTTTCCAAACAACAAATGAAAATGAAAAAACCCAACACTTTAATCTCTTTTTCCATTCTCGCCTTTTATGCAGAATTTCTTTCCCTTGGGAAAATGGAGATTCAAGAAAAAGGAACTGTGGAATTTTTTTTACTTTGGTACTTTGTGTTTTTTTCCAGATGGGATTCAACTGAAAATAACACTTGAAGTCAACCAATTATTATTTAATGAACCGCATCTTCCTGACCCAGAGGAGGCAGTGACTTTCTTAAAGCAATAAGTTTCTATGATTTTGTTACAGGGTATGTGTTTGTGGTAATCATAACCAATATTTCACTCCATCTCCTGACACTGTTACACAATATTTATTGAAAGCATATTTGATGGTAATGAAGTTTCTATTAACTATGATTAAGTTTCATAAAGCACCTGAAGATAATTTAAGATGTGCAGGAGCAGAAAATGAAACATTTGGTTTAGTACATTAGGAAATGTAATTGATTAAATTATCTCATTTACAATAAGTGCTTTCCATGAGCCATGGAGGGCACACATTTCCTCCAGTTTGCCATTACAGTTTGTTAGGAGATATCAAAGATTTCTCTAGCTTTCATTCTCCCTCTCCCTTCATTTTACTCTCTTTTTGTCCCCTCCAGCCTCTGGAAACCTGTCTCTCCATACGATCATTCTTTGAGCATGTGAAAGACTTAACAGATATGAAACAAGTCAAAGCCAGAGAACCATGTGTAAGGTTATTTAGTAGAACAGGTTGTTTCTTAATTATCTTCATAACTGATTGATTTCGCATCAATGATGATTCATGTAGTCTTAAACTAAGCCCCAGTTTTCACTGAACAGCAACAAGCTGTATTTATATAATGTACTTCTAGCCTCACAGCTTAAAGAAACACCATTTAATTCCCCCTAGGAGCCTCATGCACTAAAATTGACCCCCATTAAGGTTTTATTTTTAATAAATCAGAAATTAAAGCAATTTGATGGATTCTCTTTTAGGATCCAATAATTAAGAAGGAGGTGCATAGATAAAAATGCAACAATTGCTCAAGATAAGTTACAAAATAGATCAACAGTACAGGGCAGAACAGGGATGGTCCCATTAAGACAAATTTAGAAGGGTATGAAAATGCAAGCCAACCATGGAATGTTTTACAGTTTGCTTTTGATTTTGAATATCCATAGAAATATTTCACAATTAGAAAAAGCACAGGGGAAATGCTCTTATTCAAGGACTCTGTGCAATCCAAGCAATAAAGCGTAATAAGGATGGTTATGTAGGATACCCACAGAACTCCAATGTGTTACAAGATGAGAAACTGAAGGCCAAGTTCCTTCAGCCTGCCAAGAGGTGCAGCTATATAGGAGGATAATTCTTCTTCTTTAGTATTACTTTTATTGCATCACATTTTTGCAACTAAGTTATATATCCTCAATATGTGTGGATATAATGACTATCAGTGATGAGATGCATTACGAAAGAATCATTTTGATTAGAAATCCTTGTTTTTTAACATAGCAAAATACTCTGAACTGTGTTTACTGAACTTCCCTTTATGAAGCCCCCACGAAAATTAACCGTCAATTTGACATCTAAAGGCTACTTTATGTATTCCTAAGAATATATACTTTGGGCTGGGATTTCCAAAGGATTGCCAAATAGTTAGATGACCAAACCTCAGTAAATTTTAAATGGGATTTAAGTGCCTAATTCACTTAGGCTCATTATAAAATGTGGCCTTTATATCTGGGAGTTTCAAATAAATAATATGCACATATAGGGAATCTTTCACTGGAAGAATTAAAAGAAATTTTCACACATTCAGACTCAGAACTAGTGCTTCTCAGAAAACAGATTTTTCCCCACAACATAATTAGGTCAAAAATATAATCAAAATATCTTCACTGTAATTCTGGACATTTGGGGGTGTTTTTGTAAAAAGGGAAACCTGAAAACTCAAAAATTTCAGCTGGTTGGGCAAAACCTTTTGTTTATATAGACATTTTTCATTTGGTCCAGTTTTAACCATAAAACCACAACAGACCTCAAGAGAGCAATTCTAAGATAAGCATTACTGCAGAAAGGGCCCACGATTTGATTCATAACTACTGAAGAATAGTCACTTTTTTATATTTAATCTAAAATCTATGATTACTAAGAAGAGGCTTTTGTTAATCCATTTGTCTTTCATACAACTTTGTTTTATTTAGCTGCTAAACAAATAAAGCAGAATGAAAGAGAAAATGAAAAAATATATATATTTACAAGACAAAAAATAACTTACTTTGGGGTTTTATTTCATGAAGAGGTTTTTTATCTAAAAGAGAGAGAGAGAAAGAGAAAGAGAGAGAAAGTTGCACTTAATAAATTTACATGGAGTGTATCTATTTCCCATATCACTTTCTGTCTCGCTCTATAAATGAAATGTTTTCTCCTTGTTTGCTGACAATATGAATTTTTTATGTTGTCCATATATTTTCCTTCATCATTTAAAAGAAATCTCTTCCAAGGTATTTCTTTCCAGTCATTTCAGTTGGTTGTTTTAGTTTCTTTGTTACCTCTCTTGGTTATTTTACAACCACCCACCCACACTTCACTACTCTTAACTAACTCCTGGCGAGCTCAGATGAAGTTAGTCAAGAATCATCTATATTTCTCAATGTAAAGATGATGTAATGAAATAAAAATTAAAAGGAAAACTGATTAATTATTAAATATTTGTTTAGCTATCAAAAATACACACACACATGCTTGTATTTTTGTGTGCTGCATATATAGGCACATAAGAATGAATATTAACCATGTATGTACAAGTATATATTATACTAGTCATTCACACAATACATTAATTATTAATTTCCTTACAGATTTTAGAAATTACTGTGCTTATTGTCTTGTTATATTGGGAATGGTGCTGGTCTCAGTCTGTCTGTCTGTCTGTCTCACACACACACACACGCAAAGCACTGCATTTTAGGGCCCAGTCCTACTGCCCATATCTCACAGAATTCAGAGAGACTATCTGCGTGAGTAACTTTCATTAAAGTATTTTTTATAATCAGTACATAACTAAATTGTGCAATTCATGGCTGGAAGATATAATTGAGGCCAAGGGCTTAGTAGGATTTTAAAAAGACATATGACTAGGATGAAATAATAGAGGTATGGGTATAAATCTATCTCTAGCTTCCTGGCATTGGGAAAACTTTCTCAATAAGTGAGCTACTCCATAATTTTCCATTATAGGGTTTCTTCCTCTGAAGCAACTGGTATTAGCCATTGTCAGGGTCAGGTTAACAGTCTAGATCAGTGGTTCTTAACTGGGGGTGTGAGATGCCCTTTCTGGGGGTGCGAGACATGTCAGATTTTTTTAGAAGGTAAATCATCAAAAACACAAATTAAGCACAGGCACGTAAGTACAACTACTTTGTTTCATCAAACCTATGTATTTATTAACATTAAACTTTTTAACGATTACTGTAATATACAGTAATATACAAAAATATATCTAGGTTTAAGGGGTGCGAGAACATATGTTTTAGGTTTAAGGGGTGCGAGAAAAATATTTTGATTTTTGATAAGGGGTGTGAGAACATATTTTGAGAACCAAAGGGGTGCAGGCTGCAGTAAAGGTTAAGAACCGCTGGTCTAGAAATTACCATTTGAATGCATGACAAAGACAGGAAATTGGTTGTGTGGTAGTGTCTGTTATTTTTATTGACAATAAAAAGGGTCAGTGCTACAGTGGTTAAACAAAACTAGTAAGGGAAGTCCACCATTATTCGTTTTGAAAGTCTCATTTTTAAGCCCTGTAATTAAATGCTGACCCCTATGGTACAGTTTTCCTTTAAAAAGCTTTATGATGGGAAATTGGGTGCACGGATGGTGAATGAACCACAAATCATTGAATTTGAGATGGAAAGAAACATTCCCATCCTGCAAACACAGATTACAATCTACAGTAGATCCTAATAGAAATGAAAGGAGTTCGGTGTTCTCCTCCTGCTAAATGGCAGAACCAGAAGCCATTTGGCCAAATTTAACATGGCTGGCTGGCTGAGGTATGGAAAAGCAGAATGTTTTGGTGTTTATGATGCACTGGCAAAGGATGCTTGTAGAGCATCTGTTTGTAACCTGGCAAACTTTTGTGGGCACTGGGAAAAAAAATCAATGTTTTTTTTCAAGATAAAACATGTAACTTTAAAGCAAATAGATAAAAATAAAACACACACACACAATCAATCCTTCTTGATGGATTCTATATATAAACCCACCAAGGAAACTATACAACAGAGAATAATAGTATGGAATGACCACTGAAATAAGCAACATATGCACAAGAAACTGACAAAAACTTAGGACTGGCTCTAACCAAAGTGATCTGTCATTTTTGCTTTCACAAGTCAATCTCTGCTTTTCGCAAGCTTGGTGATGCCATGGAAACCTTTTCTAATTAAAACACACACACGTGTGTGTGTGTGTGTAAGTAAAAAAACCCATAAAACTCCACCCTCATTCTGTTCACGAGGGGAAGACAATCTGCTATCTAATTTTTAGAGACTGAGAGAAAATGGATTAGTGCATAACTTCTGCACTTGTAATGCCAACCAGGCATTCCTCATCATGTTGTATCTTTACTTTACCAAAAAACTGGTGTCCTTTTAGGCAAGAAGACTAGGCGCAAATGGAGAAATGAACCTTCATTTAGTTGGCACATATTTCATTGATTTGCTGCTCTTGGTCTGAAAGCTTGTTTTAGAGTCACATCCTTATTGCTGGACCTCACAGGACATTTTTGTACCTCTGACAATTAACAATTTTTGAACTACAACTGTTCTGGTCTCTCCTAATTACTCTACAAAGTTCTTCATCATAAACTTCTTCTCCTGACCTATCCTGTATGAATTTGGCATTAATATATGTCTTCATGTCACGTTCCATGACAGACAACAGATGAAATTTTTGCACTTTGGCTATGACTGACTGGTCTGTGAATACTGCTAAAACACACTCACATTGTATGGTATATTACCACGCATACTATGGGGGAACTTGATATGGGTACTTGATGAGACCCCCAACACTAAGTATTTAAGAGGAGATTGGACCAAAAACGTATGGGTTTAATATACAGAAAAATTCTGTGATACTGAAGTCAAATAGAATAGATGACCAAGAAATTATTTTCCAACGTTGTCTTCTATAATACTTATTTAAGCAAACATTTAACACAAGGTAATTTTAACTTTCCAGATGGTTGAAATGGTTAAACACAATCTGCAACTCATGTGAATTTGGAAAGCAGAAAAAATATTGTATTGCTGAAGGCAGGTTGATCAATCATTTGCCAGACATACTGTAGACTCCAGCAAAGACAGAAGGTGTGTATCAAAATGACACCAAGAATTAGGACTTGATAAGTTCATATGTACTTATATTTAGAATTCCTATTAATATGCCAGCCATGCTCATTCTACACTGCCCTTTCAATTATCAACATTTATACTAGTTGGCATTGTGTAAACCTAAAGTAATTGTACTCCTAATGGAAAGGGAAAAATGAATTCTAGAATATCACATTTACGTCAAGATCCAAAATGGGTTTAGTTTGGTAAACGTCAAGGGAATTTGAGGAAAAGGTTAGTTTTGTTCCCCATTTCTAGCACCTATGTTTCTATTAGGCTGTCTCCCTGACAAAACAACACAAGCAAGCTTCCAAACTTCCCCTGGGAGACATTTTCTAGTGGTGAGATGGAACAGTTTCCTGTTAATTCAGCCCCATTTTAACCCTACCAGTTTACTGTAATCATTCAGTCTCCCTCCAGGGTTTTTAGACCCCTTAAATAGCTAATATTTAGCCTTGCTGCTCTTACTTATTTTAAATGAGAGCTGTGTAAGCAACAAGTATAGGCATCTTCAGAAAACCATATTCACTTCTGTTTGTCCAAAGTTTGTGTGTTAACATGGTTTGGATTCATTTTTGTGGAGGGAAGGTCCTTAGTCTGTTATTTTATTCCTTGTTCCACCTCAAAGATTTCACTTCCTGAAGAACTGTTGTTTCAGCTGAGAACTGGACTCTCATGAAATCTACCTAAAGCCAACTGAGAATCAGATGAGCTGGGAAGGAAGAATGTATTTAAGGATTCAAAGATGGTTCCTCTATATCAGTCCCGGCACCTGCTGTCTGGGATTGATCCAAGAACCTGAGAGTTGACCCCCAAACTGGTCACTGAAATTTTCATTTAATGAATGAAAGTTTGAAAATTCTTTCTAAGGAATAGAACTTTTCCTAACTGAAAAGATCTGCTAGGGGCTATATACTATCTGCAACTGAGGTTTCCAACCTTGCCTTTGTAAGAGTCCATACTTGTTAACCACAGAAATGTTTCATTTCTATTTTTGCCTCATGAAAGGAACAAAGTTAACAAGTTGTGCCTGAGATAAATAACCTCCAAGAGATTAGTTTTCTGAAGCACTGCACTGCATTTCCTTCACAATTCCCTATGGGACATAAAGCAGAGCTGGAAAGGCACATATTGGAACACGAAGGAAAATAAAAACCAGATGGAATAATTGCATCAATTCCTATTAGCTGAGAAAGCAATTATGGCCCTAAAAATAATTTGACATAACTATATACATACAGCATAACCCATAAAGGAGTAATAATATCACACTCTAAGATGAAAGAAACAAGAGACACTTAATATTTCAGTCTAATTGAACTAACACTTATGGAGATTCAAGTTTTGGAGCAAACACATGCTCCCCACCACCTGCCATTCCATCAAAACCAGGAGAGCAACCTATTTAAAAAATGAAATATATATTGGGCCAGAGCTGATCTCAGCTCCACTGGTATAAACCTGTAGTAAATCCTTTTAAATCAGTGGCCTTCAGTCTCCTCTCTCTTACAACAACTTGGCATCATCAACTTTCAGTACAGTTACTCCTTATATAGGATGAGAATACTGAGACCAGACTTGAGCCCAAATTGTTCTACCTCAGATTCAACACCTAGGGACCTGTTTCTGACCCCAAAGTTGGGTTAGCAATCACTAGTGTGTGCAACAAAAAAGAAATGTGCAATTACAGTTTCCTCAGCTCCCTTTTCTCCTTGCAAAAGGAGTAGAAACCATAATCTATACCACAAGAGATTTGCATGTAAATCAACCAACTATAGATATTTTTTCAGGTTAGGCATTAATCAATGCCAGCCGAGAATTTAATTCTGATCATTTAAATAATATCACTTTGATTTCAATACATGTGTTCCTAATAGTCTTTTACTTTAAACTCCTTTTAATTTCAGTAATC